GACTGCCAAATGTACGTGAAAATGGAGAACCCTCGAGACCATAGCGAATTTCTTCGACAGTGACAGGCTCTCTCCGCTGTCCGTAAAGCTGAAAATGACCCTTTCATCTCCTTAATCAAATGAATCAATGAAATAGTGTGTTCTAAAAGGTAAAAAAAAATCCTAAAAACACCTCCAGCTTTTCGATTTTTCAGGTGAGTAAGGAAGCTGCTGTTAAAATGGACTTGAAAATGGGGACTAATCTGAACTTAATTCTTCATCCTTTTAGCAAGAAAGCAAACAACACACTGATACTTGCATTTCGTCTTCTCTTCACTGTTTAATTCTTATATGAGTGGAGTCAAACTTGTATTTGATCTTTTTCATTTTTCATTTTGCATATGCTCTGTTTTCAAGGGTTTTGTGTTTTTTGATCACCCTGCCATTTTGCATATTAGGGCTTAAAAGGAGCATACTCTTTTCTTAATCACTGTAACTTTACACATACGTGTGTATTTTATGCACGTATGTGTCAATTTAAGGCTTATGTACACATACCTGTGTACATATCTCTCTATGTATACACCAAAAACCCTAATTTTAACACTTTATTTTATATGTGTTTAGGGTTTTTGATGTTTCTTGGTTTACCCCTTTTTGTAGAAACTATTATGCAAGTTTTCACATTCATGTATCTTGTTATATATATGATTTATATATATGTATGTATCTTCATCTGTATATGTTTTGTAGGTTGAAGAAGACCCAACAGATCAAATCGAAGAGGGTTCCCTGAAAAATTACTCAAATGAACGAAGACAAATCTTTTTCGAATCTTTCAATGTCAGAGAAAAGGAAGAGGCTTATGGCGATGGTGGATACGAGGAAAAATTCAAAGAGGAAAAGCCTTGAGATGCCTTACATGACTGAAAAGGGGGAAAAGACAAATAGCAAGAAACCCATCAATGGAGGTACTAAAATGATGAAATCAAACTCAAGCACATTCAAAAAAAAGCTCCAAAATAGCAGGCGGAAAGTGAAGAAGAAGAAGGTATCTCAAGTAGGTGATCATAATCATGTTGCTGCATCTCATGCTTCAAATGAGCGCAAGTTTAATTCATCTGAAATCGAAGAATATTGGGTCCCAGTTCATCTTTCTCATACGCAAATGGAACAATATTGTTCCTTGTTAAATTCCAACTTTGAGTCACTTTCATCGTCTTTAAGGGACAATTCTTCACTCAGTGACATTCTCACACAGACCCAAAAGGTTTGAATTTCTTTTGTGTTATTTGGTAAAAATGATTTTAATTTAATTATTTATTTTAATTTAATTTTTTTATTATTATTGTTGTAGTGCTGTGATCACCCGTATCTTGTGGACCCCACTTTACGTGAATCGTTGAAAAAAAATCTTCTCGTTGACCAATTGGATGCTGAAATCAGCGTGAGTGGAAAACTACAACTTCTTGACAAGCTTTTGTTAAAGATCAAAGAATGTGGTTTGAGAGTAATTGTTCTATTTCAGGTACCTAAGTTTGTAATTTTTGTATACTTAAAACTTTAAATAAGGATTATAAATTATAATGTTAAAAATAAGTAAATAACACTTTTTTTTGGTGACATATTACAGTCATTGGTTAGTTCCAAAACTATATCAATCGGAGACATTTTGGATGATCTTGTTGATAAAAGATTTGGTGAAGATTCTTACATACGTATCCATGGAAAGATTCTTTACAACCACGAACGCGAAAAGAGAAAAAAAGATTTGAAATTGTTCAACAATTTAGAAAATGGAAAATTTGTTTGTTTACTAGATTATCGCGCATGTCATCCCACCATTAAGCTTTCATCTATAGATGTGGTGATACTTTTCAACAGTGATTGGAACCCGTCAAATGACATAAAAGCCCTTCGAAAGCTCACCCTCGATTCAAACCGGTTACGAGTTTTGAGGTTATATTCGTCATTCACCATTGAAGAAAAAGCGCTGATTCTTTCAAAGAAAGGTTCGATTTATGACCACAATTCGGCTGGTATTAATTACAATAATTGCCACCGGTTGTTAGCATGGGGTGCATCTTATTTGTTAAAAAAGCTCTCTGAAGATCCAAAGTCAAAGTCAAAATCAGAAAACATTTGTTTCATGGATGATTTGGTTGATGAGTTGTCATCTCTATTGAACAAGAATGGGGATATTGAATGTTTAAAAGACTCGATGATATCAAAAGCACAGATTCACAAAGGAGTTTATTCTAAAAATATGTTATTGTTGGGTGAAAGTGAAGCACACACGAAGGAAACTTGTTCATACTTGATTGAAAATGGAGCACTTTTGTTTTGGACGAATTTGTTAAAAGAAACTCCATGGGAGAATTCATGTAGCAGATTATCTCGAAGGGCACAAAAGTCATTTCGACATGAACCTGAAAACGAAAGTGATATGGAAAATTTTCAGATCAAAACAACAATTACTCCCCCTTCTGTGAGAACAAGGGTGAGAAGTAAAAGAAGAGTGTGTACTCAAGGCGAGCAAAGTACAAGTTCTGCTGCAGAATGTACAAACAATCAACCTCAACAACCACAAAATCCGCCTGTAATCCCATCGGTTTCTGATCAATCTTGTAACGATGCCCCATTAGAAACGGAATTAGAAAACATCAAGAAAGAGCGAGAAAAAATCACGAAATTACATGAAGAAAAGGTAATGTAGGATTATATATTATATATTATATATTATATATTATATATTGATTTCTGTATTATTTAATGATAACGATTAACTTGTTGATTTTGTAGAAATCGATGCTAATTTCTGAATGTGAAAAGGAGATTATAGAGATACGGAAGAAGTACGATGGATTAATTGATGAATCTGAGATGTGTTTAACGAAGAAAATGAATGTTCTTGAACAATATTATGATCTTGTGTATGCGAATAAAGTATTGGCTGACACTTTGACACGTACATGTGATGATACTTTTGATGAAGAGAAAAGTGATAAAGGTATGCAAGTTGAATCTTTCTGCCATTTTTATTCATCACATCTTTCAAGGTCATTGTTTGTATTTCCTTTTTTATTGCAGAAATTGGTGTGATGAGAGTTCTTGAAATCCCTGCATCGACACTTGTACAATCAGTGAACCGATGTACAAGTACAACCAGCGTTCCAACTTTACGTGCTCCAGCTCCTCATTTAAGGTCAAGTTCTTCATTGTTTCCATCATTGCCCACTTTGTCAACTCCCCAAACACAAACAGAATTGAACAATGTGGATTATCAAGTAAACAATGAAAAGCTTCCTGTGTTTCAATCTTCAAACTTATGGCCTGAGTTGCTTGTGGAATTTGACACTTTATATGATATGGGTTTTCCAAGTTTGCCATTTTTGGATTCAAATTAAGGGAGATCTTGATCTTGTAAGTGTTGAAGTTCTAGTTTAAAAGGGGTTCATGGTGACATTCTTGGAGGTAAGGTTTGTGTTCATATGAAGTAGTTGGAAGCGTATAGACACGTAGTATGTGTAAAGAAATTTAGGATAGAAACACATCATGTGAACATCAGTATTTGTTGATCTAGCATGGTGAAAAAAAAAATCACCAAGTGATTGATATGGTTTCGAAAATGGTTTTGTAGGTCTTAGATTGAATGTTATATTTATATATATTGTTCAAGTAGATACCTATAAAGGCCCAAATTTAAAAAGAAAAAGAAATTTTGTTTGCGTACATGAATCTCAAACTTAATCATTAAATACACAAGTAACCAAAAAATGGATTAGGGTTTTAAGTTGGTTGAGAACTAGTAATATACTTCACTCTCACTGCTTATATTCCAATGTACATTTTCTTTTACTCATAATAACAACCTAAGTATGTCTTTACACCCATGTTTGTGGATAATTACAAAGTAGTCTTATGGTTAAATGAATATAAGGGGGAGTGGGTGTGGTTTCAACCGTGGTTCCGCCACATCATCACCCAAGACTCCGTCCCCTGTCTTTTTTACCGCACTTTCTCTCTCTTCACCCAAATACTACCTGTAACGTCCGAAAAATACAACCAGTTTAAAATTTTTAAAACAACCCGATTTTCATTAAAATGTTTACAAAAAGGTTTTCAATACATTTCATTTAAGTATCCCCAGAATCACGTTGTTACAGAATCATGAGGAACGGTACGATCGCGCCTTCGCCTTGCCACTATCTCCTGAAGAACCTGAAAAACATTAAGCCACAACTGTAAGCCCGAAAGCTTAGTGAGATACCCCCAAAATACCAACCACGCATACGCCTTTCCAGGCCGTGACCTTCCGGTCCAAAACATATGAATCATACATAACATAACAGCACATAGAACAATCATGCATATCGGGTCTACCGTGACTGGTCCGCCACATCGGGCCTTCAGTCCTTCGGATCCAACCTCCGGGTCTAGTCCTGTCCTTCGAGTCTACAGTGTGGTTGGACCGCCCGCATTGGGCCTTCAACCCTCCTGGTCCACTCTCCGAGTCTACAGTATGACTGGTCCGCCCGCATCGGGCCTTCAGTCGGCCTGGTCCACTCTCCGAGCCTCGGCATGTCTGGTCCGCCCACGCGGGGCCTACAGCCTATCCGGACCGCTCGCTGGGCCTTCGGAACAACCGGTCCGCCCTGGGTATCTTGGCCTACAGCACACAGCAGGACCCGCCTCAACCCATCCCTCATCCAAACAACCATGTGCACAAACATACAGTCATATAACAGTCATAATCAACAAACCGAGTAAACAGATCACATAGCATATCATTACTCTAACCGGGCTACCGACCTACCCGTTCACTAGCATAGCATTACCCTGCATATCGAGAACTGACCTTTACAAGGTCCTCTAGCATGTACCATCCTAACTACCAGGATGCAGACACAACCAGTACTAACATGATAATGTAACTGAATCTCAATACAATAAAGGGCCGGCCTTGGTGCCTTAGACCCTGTTGATATAGTGAGGATAACTCACCTCGAAACTGATGGCTGAAAGATAAGATCCCACTGCTCCGAACTCTGACACAACTCCTTCACTGAACAACAAACAATAACCAATAAATACCCGTAATTACCAAAATACCCCTGGGGACAACTGGTCAACCCTGGACAAGTCAAAGTCAACTCCTGACAGACCCTACTCGCCGAGTCAACCCTATGACTCGCCGAGTTCTTATGCTCAGAACTTCCCTCACTTAGCGACCCAACTCGCCGAGTCACCCCAGGACTCGCCGAGTGCAACAACTCTGAGTCCACTCGCACCCAACTCACCGAGTCGTCCCTCGACTCACCGATTCATCGACTCAACCAGAAATATTGGGACTTCCTCGACAAGACTCGCCGAGTCCAACTGAACTCGTCGAGTCCAAGCTCATCTTCAACCTACTCGCCGAGTTGTTCTTCCAACTCGTCGAGTTCAAGGCCATCTTCAAGCAACTCGTCGAGTCCACCCATGTGACTCGCCGAGTTCCACCGGTCTGAATCCATACAGAAGCATCTCAGGCCATGCAATTGATCCAAAACATAGATCCAACCTCCTACAATCCATCCATCACGTAAAGTGGCAAACTTTACGTGAATCTAACGAGATCTAAGCCATTTTCACCTTAAAACCTAGGCTTGGGACATGATAGCTTCATTCATAGCACAATGGTTGGGACTTTAATGCACTCAAAGACTTCTCCATTCCAGATCTGAGGTAGCAACCTCAGATCCACCCTCCAACACCAAAATGACACATAACCAAGCATCCCACACAACCCCAAATGATGAAACTAGAAATGCACAGCTCAAGGACGACGATATTACCTCCCAAAGATGCCTCAACAACAGCTAAGCACGAATCCAAGCAAAGCCCTTTGATCCAAACCACTTCTCCTTCAAGGTTCCTCCAAGCCACACCTCTCCAAGCTCCAATTTGCTCCACCAATGCTCTTCTCCACGAGATTAGGGTTTCTGGAACTCAAGGGGGGAATAAGAGAGGCTGTGGAGGGGTGTTATGTTCTTTATATAGGGCTCAACCCCGGAAATTAGGGCTTTCTTCATACAGCACCTACTCGCCGAGTCCATACTTGGGACTCGCCGAGTAGGCCACCCGGCACGCGACCCATCCGCGACCTGACTCGCCGAGTCCATTCATGGACTCGCCGAGTCACCCCTCTAAACTTACACTTTAAGCCCTTTAACTCTACTCTTGCGATTTCGGGATGTTACAACTCTCCCCCACTTAAATTAGGCTTCGCCCTCGAAGCCTTCGGCATCTCGTCTTCAATTTACTTCCCACTATGCGCCACTTGACCTTGACCGCGCCAAGCCCCTCAAAGTACAACCATAGAACCAGAGGCTCACTTCCTCCTTCCGTACGGTGTTTCCACCACCCACTCAAACCGACACCCATTGTACCTTCCGATAACCACACTCAACAACCGAGAATTACCCACGATGCCTTACCGCTCCAATTCTCATCTTCCACTTGACTCACATGGCTATAGAGCCACGAACACTCGGATTCCCGATCCGAATCCCACTCTACCCTTTCCGTGACGACCGAAAGACCCATTCTTCCATTTCGGAGCAACTCCCCCGAGTTCTCCTATCGCAATCACACATACACGCCGATCTAGCTCTAGCACCCTCAGGTGCGGATAACCTGACATACAGACAATATCCTCATCATCCTTCCAGGATAACCACTGATACATACCCAGAACCCTGATCATGATCTCACTGAGAGTCCAAGACTCTTGCTCTGCATCCCTTCCGAACTCCTCTCCCTGACTCCACGTCGCGATATTCCCCCTGCGCCCAAGGCAACATATCGAGCCGAATAAGCTTATATTCCGCTGCCGCACACACTACTCGAAGACCATCGACGGACCACAGTGATCGCGACTCCACACTGCCGCTTTCACTTCCGTGAATCGCTCTCCCTTACCGGAGTTTCATTCCTCCCTCTTCCTTTGCCAAGGAAACCACTCGTCTGCCCGCTCACCATGGCAGGCACCCTGGTGCTCATCCTATGCCACATTACCTCTTTACAGCGCACTCAACATCCATGCATTACCGCTACTCTGCCTCTCATCACAAGGACTCTCAAGCCCATGCACTACCTTTACCGCTCAAGATCGCTAGCCGGGGCCAGACCTCCCAATGTAATCCCATTGCGACATACGCAATCCATAATCTCTAACCGATCTAACAATACCCGCAGAGTCCTCAGCATGACTGGACCGCCTCCCCGGGCCTTCAGCCAAACTGGACCACTCTCAGAACCTTCAGCCAACCTGACTGGACCGTCTTCCGAGCCTTCGGCCTGACTGGTACGCCTACCGGCCTTCAGTCTATCCGGACCGCTCTACAATCAATCATCATTCCGAACTATCTCTTCGGGAAAATCCTCCCGTGCATACCGTTCTAGCCCTCTAGGGGTTCCGAACTCTACCTCCACCATACATACTCGATCCCGGCCTGCCCCCAAGCCTTCCTCAATCAACTGCTCTAGGTCTTAATTTCGCCCCGTACGCCTACTGCTCACCCGTACGAGCCTGTTCTCATCTGATAGAAATACCGCCGAATTCCCCAAGCGGCTAAACAACCTTCCACGCCCAACAATCATCCGGAGAATTTCCAATTCTCCCCCACTTAAGACACTGACAGAAAATCACCGGCCGCCATCACCGATCTCCCAAAGTGCCTCGCAGGAACCAACACATGCACTCCAGTGCGTTTCGCCATTACCGACAGCTTTCATACAAATCCTGCTCCCACGCTGTACCACTCGCTCGAAAGCGACTCAATCTTCATCTTTCCATTCTTCATACTGCAGAATCCAACTAGCCTCCAAACTAATACCGCATCCGCCACCAATCTTCACGAAGATAACCAATGATGGCCCGAAGCACAATCCCCAAACCATAACGATCCCTCAAGGAACACACGATACTAAAACAAAATCTCGATCACCACTCGCCAAACCCTCAAGGAACAACGAATACCACAAGAAACCCGAAACGCAATTCCAAAAGCCACCCAATGAAACCAGCAGATAACAATACCCACAACAATCATAAATAATCGAAACATCAGAAAGAAACATACCCGCAGAAGCAAGCTGAAAAACACGACCCTAAGCCCTTGGGGGCTCCGCTCCACCCTGACCTCCACCTGTGATCCTCAACGTAGCCGGTGCTGGAGCTTGCACCGATCCTGAAGCAATCTGTGGACAGTTGACCTTCAAATGTCCAACCTGATAACAATGATAGCATATCCTCAAATCCCGAACCGGCACCGACTGCCGACAATCCCTCGCATAGTGTCCCTCCTTCCCGCACTTGCGACATGCTCCACCGGACCGACAAACCCCGGCATGACCCCTTCCA